TAGGGGTTTAGGGGTTTAGAGGTTGAGGCTTTAGGGTTTAGGGGTTTTCGGGTCCTGACACTCAACCCTGAGAACCTCTCTGACTTTATGAAATGATACCAAACCGTTATAGGAGGGTACCCGAATCCCTAAACCCTAAGTCCTACACCCTAAACACCTAAACCTTAAACCCTAAACCACTAAACCATAAATCCTAGACGACTTCAAGCCCTGGGGGCCCTGGCAGTTGTGGTGTGATCCAACCAAAGCCTGAAACTCAACAAACTGAACCTGATACTCAGATCCTAAATAAAGACCCCACCCTGAACCAAAAGGGTAACCTAGTAAACCTAGTCCCTAGAACCAAAGTCTGAAAGCCCAATGACCCGCAAACCCTCGTCCAAAGCATCTCTCCAAATGCCCTTGGCCTTCGGCGACGAGCACGGGCGCGATCCTTAGGTTCAGGGTTTAGGGTTTAGGCTTAGACTGCACGACGATGTTCAGTTAATTGTTAGAGGGTCCGTGATCCCTAAAATCGCTTTCCTTTACAGGGTTGCTTTAAGAGCTCTATGGTTGGTGACACCTCAAGAATTCGAGGCTTTAGGGCTTTATATAGGGGTTAAGCTTACTAAATTTAAATTTAGGGATACCTGATGCGGAGGTCCTGATGGTATAAGGCTCCTGCTAGTTAGGGTTCTGTATTATTGGGGTCTGCTATTCCGGCAACTCCTAGCCAGAGTTTCTGCAGGATTCGGGCTTCAGGATGCAGCGTTTAGGCTTTAGGGCCCTTTAGGGCTTTAGGATTTCGGGCTGCAGGCCTCGCGGGCACGGTTTCAAGGGCAAGAGCCGAGATGATCTGCGATCACGTTGGTAAGTAGTACAGAGACCACAGAAAGGATGTTCTACTGTAAACCTACCCTAAACCCTGAGCCCTGGACCCCCTAAACGCTGAACTCCTAAGACCCTAAGACCCTTAACCCTGAACCCCTAAACCTAACACGCCAAACCCTCAAGATGCTACCTCCGAATCTAGCACTCTCAAGTGTGTAGTCAGGAAAGATACAACGGCTGAGTTTAGCAAAGTCTCCGTAAACGGTTTTGGATTTCGGGTGTTAGGGTTTTGCATTTACATACGGATTGTGGCAATTTGCTCGCAAAGCTTCGCGATCCGTCACAAAGTTTTGTTGACAATGATCACATCGACTATTCATATCACCGCTCGGGAGCATCCCTATATGGGAAGCTTTGGTCCGTGACACCGTGCCAACAGGATGAGCGGCATAGGTAAGTAGAGGTTGCAGTGGCTAGAAGTTAGGTGCTTGTCAACTTTGACCCTAAGCCCCTGAAAGTTTAACCCCCTTAAACCCTAAACCCTTAATGACATCCTAAACAAAACAATCTATACGACTAAACCCTAAACCCGGAAGTAAACATCAAAACCCTAAATCCTAAACCCTTAATTCAAGCCTACTTACAGGCGCCGTACCGACGTTTTTGCTCTTTCTCAGAGCTCCTTCCGCCTTCTTATATACGAGGGCTTAAAGGGCTTAGGGTTTTGAGGTTTAGCTTTTTAGGGTTCCCTAAACCCTGGACCCTAAAAAAAGCCGAACTCAGATCCTCAAGCTCGAAACCGCCAGCAACAATGGGGTGCGAGCCGAGAGGCTTGTACAAAGCGTCGGCATAGAGGCGGCAAACTGAGAACAGTGGCGGTTTCTGGCCTCGGGTGGCACTTTTGCTGAGTACGGTTGGCGATGGTCATCTTCAGCACCTAGAGCGAAGTACAACACAGGCAACATGAATGGAGAGAGTGTCACCACTCTTGGCTCTTGGTGATGGTGTTGATGCGATCGTTATGCATGCTCTTGCTGCCGAAACGAAACTATCGTGGCTGACGCTGGCGGCCATGATGACGACGAAGACGACGATGACGATGATGGTCTTGGTGATGGTGGCGGTAATAATGCGTATGACCATGAGGACGGTCGTGTTGACAACGGGCTGTTGCTGCTAATGCCAGTAACGGCGAC